AGAGCTAATATGACGTTAACTCCAGAGCTAATATGACGTTAGCTCTAGAGCTAATATGACGTTAGCTCCTGGGCTAATCTGACATTAGCTCTAGAGCTAATATGACGTTAGCTCCAGAGCTAATATGATGTTAACTCCAGAGCTAATATGATGTTAACTCCAGAGCTAATATGACTAATATTTTGAAGTTGCAGTGGTTTTAAACATTTTTTCAGTTTTGTTTCCTTAAACTTGAATATTTCTTTATGTTGAACACACAACCCGCTCTTTGAAGATGCATCTTAGGGGGCTGTTTTGGAACCGAAGGAGATTACGGCCGAGCCAAATAATCCCAGGAAAGAGATGTCATTCCAACTATGAGCAGGAAGTTTCTGTCTCCAGAAGCTTCTCTGGAACTTCTGCACGTTCTTCATGACCAAACGTGTCCATCTCCTTCAGGTTGGTGCTGCTTGTGTCCAACAATCTTTGAATCAAACCAGTGACTCTCAGTTGGACTGAGGTTTGGGCTTTGACTGAACCAATGCAGAACCTTCATCTGGTTCTCCTTAAACCAGTGGAGGGTTGTATCAACAAAATCGTTGTCTTGCTGGAAGATGGACCTCAAACCTCAGGATAACTCCATTATTTCTTCTCAAGAATCCATCTTTCCTTTAACTCTGACCAGTTCCCCATCCCTGCTGAGGAACAGTCACATCATGATGCTGCCTCCACCGTGCTTCATGGTGACGATGGTGTTCTCAACAGGTGTTAGGTTTGTCTTTCCTGGTCTAAAAGTTCTCGTTCGGTCTCCTCTGACCGCAGAGCCTTTTCCCCAAATGTTTTGGTGAGAAGTTGCAAACAGTTCCTGACTTTTTCTTCCCTCTCATGAAGCTCGGTCCTGTGCAGCTTCTGGTGGTCTTGTGGACAGGTCCTCTGCAGAATCATCAAGGTTTTCTTTGGCCTTCTGAGTTTTGTTAGATGTAAGCACCATTTATAGTAAGAACTCTGAATCATTTGGTTGGTTTATGTCTGTCTATAAATATTTGGTTCAATATTTTCGTGGCCTCCGTGCTCAGACAGAAAATACGATGTTCATGTTGTGCGTTCGTCCATATTTTGAATCGTGGTGTTCATGAACAAGCCTTGGTAGAGTCATGTTCCACTTGTTGGCGCTGCCACGTCGACTCAACATGAAAACCAGTCTGCTGCAGTTCATGGATGGACTACACGGGTAGAGGATTATTAAAACATAAAAACCAACAAGAAACTCCAAACATGCAGCAGACCACCCTCTGTTGGCAGGTTTTCTGTGGCATCATCTCTCTCTTTCATAAAAATAGGTTTAATTAAGTTTTTTTTTTTATTATTATTATTAATAATAATTTTATTATTATTATACGCCTGTGGAAAGACTGACACATTTTGGTATAGTCCCCATCCTGCCCATAACTTCAGATCCACTCAAGATAATTGAACAAAACTTCATACACATATGCATCGTCATTAAATGGAGGGTCACATAGGTTTTCATTACCCCAGCTCCAAGGTCAAGGTCACAAATAAAGGTCAAAGTTAAAACAGTCAATAATCTTTGCTTGTCCGGGCCATTCCTACAGCTTGCTGTGTAATTGTTTGTCGACGAGACTATAATGTGCTGTATTAAGTGTTCTTGTTTTTATGATAATCTGCTCTTACCCATCACTTTGTCTCTGACCTGAGAAATTGTCAACTTTCATGGTTTGGTATTGATAACAAAATGTTTTGGTTTTGCCCAAAGCGTTACCCAAACAAACAAACAAACAAACATTTTTAGATCGGAGGGAAACAAAATGTCCTAATGATGAATGAGCGACAATGATTCAGCAAACAAAAGTATTTTTGAAGCACGTTTTTTTTACACTAAAACACGACGGTTGTTCCCTTTGCATCACGTTTTTGCATGAAAAATATTGTTTTGCTGCCATTTTTTTCTACAGATGTATAAATGTGAATATTAACTGTATATATTTATATACTTTAGGGTGAAATGCAACAGATATTTGTAGTTTAAGCATAGAAATACGAGTAAAAGTCCATTTTCACACGTTGCATCAAAACCACATGCCACAAACTGAGACTCTGACTGAGTTTCAGGATTTATTTATTTATTTATTATTTCTGAAGTGGTGCTTTAAGCTAACGGACTGACACTGAGAGGAGGATGAGAATGCCTGGTAAAATTAAAAAAGAAACAGAAGTGAAAGTTTTAAAGCTGCAGTGATAAAAAGAGTCAATTTCCATTTTCAGGTGTTGGTTTCTGGGTCCATGGGACATCCCCACACTGCCAGAGCATGTTCTTCTGGACCATGAAAACACCTCCTTTGTTTTTTTACTCACACACACAGTTGGACCAACAGACACCCACACGTGCAACATGAAAAACAAAGTGTGTTGTCTGAGCTGTCGGGTGCTGTCCCTCGTCCTTACCTGCGATACTGAAGCGTTTGATGAACCTGCAGGTAGTTCTGCTGAAACGTCTCTTCATCATTTTCCAACAAACTCTATTTGAAAGTCAAATCTGGCTCAAGTCTCACCCACAGATCAGTTTTAGGACACCAGAACTCACGCCTGGGAACTGAGAACATGGTTCGGTGAACTTCCACTGCGATGAGATCCAACCGTCACTTTGTTCTAAAACGCACTTCTGCTTTGTGCTCGGAGGCGCTGATACAAAGGAAACACGGGAAAAATCATCGCGCATGTATCACATTAACTATAAGCTGATGTTTAATGTGCAGAATGATTTCATAAGGTTGTTAGAGTTTAGGTCACTAAAAGATGAGCCCTGTAAGTTTTTACAGGTTGTGAAAAAGTCGGATCAGGGTTGAAAGCGTTGCTCCGGCCTGTCGTAGTGAAGAAGGAGCTGGGAGAAGGTATGGCTTTACAGTACGGTCATGAGATGTTAATTATGACAGAAAAGCCAAGATCCTGGATCCAAGCAGCTGAAATAAGCTTCCTCCGAAGGGTGGTTCTGCCCTAAAGATAAGTTGAGGAACTCCATCATCCAGGGAGAGGGGGGCGGTGCTCAGATTAGATTCGCTGCTCCTCTTCATAGAAAGGAGTCACCTGGTAGGATGTCTCCCTCTGGAGGTTTTCTGGGCATCTCCCACTGTGGGTGGACCCAGATGGGGGGATTATACTGAGTGTCACCTTTGACCTAGGAACACCTTGGGATGTCCATGACAACCTGGAAAGACGAATTAACAATAATTACAGGTCCAAACCCGGACTCCCCCCCCCCCCCCCCCGACATTTATAATTAGTCATTAACGGTCGGGGACGCGCGGCTGAATGAAAGCAGCAGAAGATTCGGAGTGAGAGGTGTTTGTACTTTCATGGCCGTAAAAAAGCATTTAAACCCTGTTTCTGCTGCATCCTGAAGATCAGAGCTGAGGAGCTGAGGAGCTATCAAAGCGCATTAACAGCCTCCCCTGCTTTTGCCTGCATTGAACCCTGCTCTGACATGTCGGATATTTTGGGTTCTCACCTGTTTGGGTTGTCGGCCACGCGCGTCCGCTGAGTGCAGCGGCTGAATGAACGTCCATTTGGGCGCTGGATCGCTGCCTGGCAGTACAGTCCCACCTGAAGCTTAACTGAACTTTTTACCTCTTTCAAGGCCGGTCAGCTCACGGTGAAATGTCCGCGTGTGTCTGGTGGAAGTATGGCAGGCCATGTCATCATATAATTATATTTACGGCCGATCCTGACCTAATTAAAAGCCTGAGACCGGCCCACCCATTAATCACATTATAACAGCCCGGCCCAGGCCTAATCCGGGTCGGTCAGAGCCGAGTTTCGGGTTCGGGTTAGAAATAACAGCGCTAGTTCTGGTTCTCAGACTGAAAATGACAGCAGTTAAAAGTGGAAAAGTTTTATTTTCATACTCCATTTTTGTTGCTTTTGTTATACACTGGATATAACAGACAATAAACATTGTCTGATACAAAAGCCACATAAAACAAATTTAATGAGACAAAATTTGATTTATTCCTCTGTTGTACCAAAAAGACATGAAGCAAAACAGCATCCTGTAAGAATGAAGAAAAAACACTATCATTTTACAGAAACATGAGCTGTGATATGTAATAAATGTGTAATAACGGTGTTAATTGTGTATTAAATGTAAAAACTGTGTAATAAGTATCTAATAACTGTATTAACTGTGTATAAATCTTATATTAACTTTGTAATAACTGTGTAATACCGGTACTGATAGTGTATTAAATGTAAAAACTGCATATTAACTATGTAATAACTAATAACTGTTAACAGTAATAACTATTAATCATGTAGTAACTATGCAGTAAATTTGTAATAACTGTGTAATAACTGTTAACTGTGTATTAACTGAATTTATTGTGCAGTAACTGTAGTAGCCATGTAGTAATCATGTAGTAACTGTGTAACAACTATGTATTAATTATTTATTGTGTATTAACAATGTGATAACTGGGTAATAATAACTGTGTATTAACTGAAAAAAATATGAACTTTATAATAATTATATTAATTGTGTATTTACTGTGAAGTTACTGTGAAGTTACTGTGTGTAAAAACAGTGTAATAACTGTATTAATTGTGTGGTTACTGTGTATTTACTGAGCCCACCTTTGTGTTTGTAACTAGAGGCAGTACTCTAGAAACCAAAACAAAATAATTTTAGTGAATATTTAAGGAATTTTCACTTTTAAAAATGTGATTTTTCTCCATCAATCTCGGCAACAAACCCTTTTCCTGGGGTAGTCTGACGCTCTCCTTTAGGTTACGACACGCTGACTTTTTTAGAAAAGTTGTAGTGACATCAGGGTCCAGGTCCTTCTGTCGAGCTTGAAAGAAAAACGATTAAAACATATTTTAATGAGTTAAAATCCACAAGAATATGCACAAAAGAAAATACAAAACCAAAAGTTTAATTGTTTTTCTCGTAATGTGCAGTTTTACTGAGAGGAAGTCTCCATATAATTCATTCTTGATCAGAGGTTAAACGTGGAGGTTTGGTGATCCGGTGATGGAAAGCTCAGAACTCAATCTCCAGAATGGTGCCACGGTCTCACCCCAACCCTCACCGGAGGTTCGTACTATGCACGGACTGATGAGCAGCAGGGTCTGAAGCTAACAGCTTCCAGACTTCTTAGGAGGCTCTCAACAAGATTTCAGAACGTTTGTGTCCATTCGTTCTGTAGAGCAGTGGTTCCCGACCCTGGTCCGTGAGGAACACCATCCTGCATGTTCCTGCTTTGACACCTGATTTGAACGAATTAGTGATTAATGGGCTTCTTCAGAACTTGATGAAGTAATTAAATCGGATGGTGTTCCTCATGGACTTGTGCTGGGAACCACTGATGTAGAGCATTGATGAGCACTGATGTAGGACGAGAAGGTCTTGCTCCCTGTCTTAGTTCCAGTTATCCCAAAGGTGCTTGATGAGGGTCAGGACCAAACACAAAAAAACATGTTGTGCTTGTTTTGTGCATTGGGGCACAGTCATATTGAACGAGACATACAAACTATTTTTAAATTGTTTCCACAAAGTTGAAAGCACAGTACTCAATATTACATTAAGACAGACCACCAAGATCAGGGGCCTAGCACAAACCCTGATGACTGAAGTACCTAAATTCCTCAATTATAAGCAGTGGTCAAACATTTTCCCCTTGAGGTGATTCTATACAATTAACTTCATGTCCATCTTCTACTCTGATCTGTAGTGGGGTTGTGGAGGCAACGGGTCCAGGAGAGAAACCATTACCTCCCTCTAATAATTTACAGCTCCTCCTGAGACACTCCCAGCCCAGAGAAGATACACAATCTCTCCAGAGAGTTCTGGGTATCTGGTCTCTTCCCTGTATGACATACCTGGAAAACCACCAAAGGAAGTCATCCAGGAGTCATCCTATCAGATGAACCTCCTCAGTGGACTACTTTTGTTGCAGAGTAGCAGCTCCTCACCTTATCTCTAACTGAGTCCCCACCACCCTACAAGGGAAGCTCATTTCAGCAGCTTGGATTCAGGATCTGGTACTTTCAGTCATGATCCAAACCTCATGACCACTGGTGAAAGTTGGAATGTAGGCAGACCCGTAAATCCAGAGCTTTGCCTTCTGACTCAACTCTTTATCCAAACGAAGCAACGCCATCATCACTGAGGATGAGGCTCTGATCTGCCGCTCCATCTGCTGCTCCATCATACCATCACTCAGGAATGAGATGCCCAGATACTTGAACTCTTCAACCAGAGAGGAGAGCCCCACGACCCAGAGGAAACATTCCACCAGTTTCTGGTTGTTTACAACTAATGATGTATACTGATGTGCTGAATGCATGTAGCTGTTATCCTCTTGATGTTTGATATCACTGATGAAACTCTATTATTCATATAACCAACTAAACTGGGCACTATAGGGAGCACGGGTCAGAGTATCTCTGGTGCCGTTCCAGGGCCCGGCTAAATGGTGAGGGCTGTATCAGGAAAGGCTTTTGTGTTCGTTTAAATGCGGATGAGTCGATGTGGCCATCGCTGTAGAAGAAACAGCTGATAGAAGAATATCAACCCCAACAAGCCACTAATCCAACCAAATTACCAGCTGTCAGTGATGGTTCCCTCAGCAGAACTAATCCAAGATAAAGGACTAAAGGACAGAATGGTCCAAGCTACAGATTGGAGATGGATAAACGCTGAACCAAATTACAGATAATCAGTCAGAAAGGTTTGTCCTACTATCTCTGACTTAATTGACAACTGACCCAAGCTAATATCAGACTTTTTTTTTAAACTGTTTGATATAAAGTTCAGTGAAGTTGTGCCTTCCTGTCAGTCGAACAGCATTTTAGCTGATCTAGAATCAGCTTCTCAACCCAAACGATCAGAAAGTCTGATGTCGTCACAATGTCGGATAAAACGAGGAACAGCAAATGCAAAAAGGAAATAGAAAACTCGGTTTGGATGAACTCGGGATCCGTGCCTGGGAAAGAATCCCTTCTGAGAGTAAGAACTTTGCCGTGCATTCGTCTGTTTTTGGGCGACAGCAGCTCACCGTACAGCATGTATCTGTTGAGCGAGTCCTCGGAGTCGCTCTCACTCAGAGGCGGCTCCACTTCCTGGAAAATGATGCAGTCGGGGCAGTTGGCCCACGTGCCGCTCCAGAGCAGGTTTCTGCGCTGCGGCCTTCCTGGATTAAAAAAATAAATAAATAAAACATAAACAATACAAAGATCGTCTCATGTTGCCCTCTGCAGTTGCACCTAAAAATATCCACTGAACTTCTGTGATAACTATGAAAATAAACATTTGAACAAAAAAATGGATTCAGATACACTTGAAGTCTGATTTATGGCGCAGGAGGAGACAGTCTGTTGCCCACTGCAATGAAAGATGGGTGATCATGTAACGGACTGTGTGTACGTTAGCAAAATATCTCACGAACCAGGGGTGGTGATGGGCATTTCTTCAGAAAATGCTATTTTTTTTGTTGTTGAACAAGTTAACTGATGGTTTTCTTTTAGCATTAATTTAATGCTGAAATGTTTTTAAAAGATTGAAAATATTTGTTTTGATGGCAGACCATAAAGGATTTATCTGCAAATGAACAAACGGCAAAATAAAGCAGATAAAAAGTGGTTTTATAAACCTGACAGTCACACAAATGTCACAAACGTCAGTAAAACGTGTAAAAATCCCAGTTTGATTCGGCTGAACCTGCAGCTGGACAGTGATTGTAAAGTTTAGTGTTTCGTGATCACCCTGCAGGATCAGATCGTCCCTTCCAGGCTGGATCTGATACGTCCACGTCTGCTTCATGCAGTCATCCCCCCTAAAAATGAAAGTTAAAAATAAAAACAAAGCTGTCACATGAATAAAAACAAAATAGTATTTTCAGTTTGAATCACCCAGTTTTTGTTTTCTTGTCTGAACTTCTGATTCTTTCTTTCCACACAGATTACAGCTTGCGGTTGGATTTATTTTGTTTTATTGCCTCTTAACTATAAGCTGAAGGTTTGGAACAATAGATGTAGATTTATTAGAAATGATGTCAAAGAGCTGCAGAAGTTCAGCTTTCAGACTTCTGAGGGTGTTTAACAGGACGGGGAGAAGCTTTAAAATTTCTTCTGTAGGTTTTTTAAAGTCTTTCACGTTTCTCTCAGAATTGCATTTGTATTCTTTTTTTTATTTTATTAGAATCTAACACAATTGCTTTGTTTTTCTCTTTTTAAGCTACTCTAGCTTCTAATTACTATTTAGCCAATTTGGGCTTTTAGCTATTATTTAGCTACGTTTGGTAATTACATATTTTGTAATTTTAGCTACAGTTTCATTGGCCTTAATTTTGACATTGTATTGCTGATTTTAGCTAACCTATTGGTTTTGTTACCTCTAGCAACAGTTTTCCCAATTTTAGCTATGGGTTCGCCTACTTTAGCATCTGTTTTGCTTCTGTTACCTGTCTATAAACATTAAAGGTAAATCAAATCAAACAAATGTGGCCTTTACTTCTGCTCTGTGAACTGTAGCTTTATCCTCTGTTTAGTTATATTTAGCAATTGCTGAGTCTTTAGCTACAGTTTTGTTCATTTTAGCTGTTTTTTTTTTTACTAATGTTCAGTACAATTTAAGTAATTTTAGCTTCTGTTTGACTAAATTTAGCTACTGTTCTGCTACTTTTAATTAGTTCTGCAGCTCCTTGCTTGTGTTTCAGCTCGTTTTCTGGTCATTTAAGCCTCGGCTGCTTTTAGCTCTTGTCTTTCCCATTTTAGCTTCAATTCTGCTCGTTTCAACTTTAACTCAGTTTCAGCTTCTTCAGCTAACTCTTTCCACACTCAGCGTTGGAGTTGCATTTTTCATAAAAACGTATTTCAGTTTGATCCAGACTTGTTCTGTTCGACTGTTGGACCTGCAGGACAGAGGAAGACCTGTGTCCAACCGTGAGTGTGTGTCCTCACATGCGCATGTGTCCAGTCAGGACCAGAGTCTCATTGTCCGTCTCCTCCATGGTGAAGACGACGCTGTCCAGCACCTTAAACTTCTGGATGTCGGCTCCTCTGCGACTGACAGCCGCCTCGAAGTGCCATTTTCCCAGGTACTGAAAAAGACACGAAGAAGAAGGAGGCGGCGTGGGCTTATCAGATGTGCAGGAACAGAAATTAATTCACGATTTAAACCCACGTCTCACAGCAGAGACCTCTTCTGGAAAGAACCGAGGAGGTGGAAAATGCAGATCTGATAAACACGAGTGGGTAAAAACCACTGAGCCGAAGTCTGACGCAGCAGTTAACCTGCGAAGTCATCACGAGAGTTCTGAGGGTCCGATTGTCTCACCTGCTGTCGGTTCACAGAGTTCACCAGCAGCTGCTCAGGATGGCTGCAGGGAACCACCAGCTGATGGAAAACCGTGTACAAATACAGCAAACAAGCCCAGGCGTCGGCCAACATGGCTGCCGATGAAGCAAGTCCTCAGAAGGCCTGAAGAGCCACAGCTCCTGTCTGACCACAAACGTTCTGCAGCTTAACACAGCGAGGGTGGAGGTCAATGATTAACTCGAGATCCGCAGCTTCACGCCTCTAACTCAAACCGATTTGGAGTTTTGCATCTTTTCATGTAATGCCGAAGGTTTTAGATTAATTAATATGTTTATATTAAAGTGAATCATTAGTTCATGAAAGTGAGTTTTAGTTCTAAAACTGTGAGGAAACTTCACAAGTCACCTGCAGGGCTGCTTCAGGAAAATCTCTTCAGAGGATCAGTCGTTAAATATTAAAGTCCTGGATTTATTTCATGACTTCACACTCTTAAAAGCTTTTTATTTTTATTTTTTTACATTTAGAGCGACTCTGTCAACAAACAGAAGATCTGCTGCGAATCATTAACTCCCAACGTTTTCATCATCCTGGACTTTAGGATTCAAAAAGCAGCGACATCATCTTTAGTCATTTTGTCGACTGAACGGCTGCAAATCTCAGCGTTGATGTTTGGATGGAGATTCATGAGTGCCGAGCTGATATTTTAGCTGTGAATAAAATAAAACCTTCGGTTCGTTCAGGAGATGACATTCAGTTTAAATATTTCACTTTAGTATCCCCCCCCCCCCCCCATTTTCAATTCCTTCAAAACAATTGTTTGGAGTGGAGTTTGCTTCAGCAGCTGCTGGTTTTGTCTTCTGATGCTACGTTTAGCGTTTAGTTAGCCTTTTGCTTCCGAGCTTTAAACTAGTATTTTTGCTGTTTGTAGAATTTAATCAGCATTCTGCTACCTTTATACCATTCTGCTTTTTTGTTGTTGTTGTTTTAAGCTACAATTCAACTACTTTTAGCTTTTAGTTACCATTCTGCTATTTTAAGGTTTTAGCTAACATTCTGCTTTTAACTTTTAGTTGGCCTTTGGCTGCTTTTACCTTTAAACTTTTCAATTCAGTTCAGTTTATTTATATAGTGCCATATCACAACAAAGTTGTCTCAAGGCACTTTACAGGAACATTCACATACATAGAAAAGCCAATTAGTAAAGTTCTATATCTAAGGAATAATTTAACTTTATTTATCTGAGGAGCAGCTTTGAGTTTAACTCCATCACAGAACTCTCATCCTGAGCAAGCATGAAGGCGAAAGTGGAAAGGAAAAACTCCCTAATGAGGAAGAAACCTTTAGCAGAACCAGGTTCAGAACAAACGGCCATCTGCTTCGACTGGCTGGGTTTGAGAGGAACGGATACACAATGGCAGGTCAAGAATCACATGTTAAGATAGAAATAATTTCAAATGAAAACTATTCAATTTTAACAATTCATTTAAGGAAATGAGGTCAATTTATCCTCCAGTAGTCTAATCCTATAGCAGCATAACAAGCCAGCCTTAACTATAGGATTTATCTAAAGGAAAGTCTTAAAACTGGACAATGTTTCAGCCTCATGGACAGAAACTGGAAGTTGGTTCCAAAAGAGAGGAGCCTGATAACTGGAAGATCTTCCTCCCATTCTGCTCTTGGAAACTCTAGGGACCACGAGTAAACCTGCAGTCTGAGAGTGAAGTGCTCTGTTAAGAAAATATGGAACAATAAGATCTGTAATATAAGATGGAGCTAGGTTGTTGAGAGCTTTATAGGTTAGAAGTACAAACTGGATTCCAAAAAAGTTGGGACACTAAACAAATTGTGAATAAAAACTGAATGTAATGATGTGGAGATGGCAAATGTCAATATTTTATTCGTAATATAACATAGATGACAGATCAAAAGTTTAATCTGAGTAAAGGTAACATTTTAAAGGAAAAATATGTTGATTCAAAATTTCACAGTGTCAACAAATCCCAAAAAAGTTGGGACAAGTAGCAATAAGTGGCTGGCAAAAGGAAATTGAGCATATAACGAACAGCTGGAAGACAAATTAGCACTAATTAGGTCAATTGACAACATGATTGGGTATAAAAAGAGCTTTTCAGAGTGTCAGTGTCTCTCAGAAGCCAAGATGGTAAGAGGATCAACAATTCCACCATTGTTGCACAGAAAGATAGTGCAGTAATACCAGAATGGTGTTACCCAGCGTAAAATAGCAAAGACTTTTAAGTTATCATCATCAACCGTGCATAACATCATCAAAAGATTCAGAGAATCTGGAACAATCGCTGTGCGTAAGGGTCAAGGCCGTAAAACTCTACTGGATGCTCGTGATCTCCGGGCCCTTAAACGTCACTGCACCTCAAACAGGAATGTCACTGTCAAGGAAATAACAGAATGGGCTCAGGAATACTTCCAGAAAGCATTGTCAGTGAACACAATCCACCGTGCCATCCGCCGTTGCCAGCTGAAACTCTACAGTGCAAAGAGGAAGCCATTTCTAAGCAAGCTCCACAAGCTCAGACGTTTGCACTGGGCCAGGGGTCATTTAAAATGGAGTGTGGCAAAATGGAAGACTGTTCTGTGGTCAGATGAGTCACGATTTGAAGTTCTTTATGGAACACTGGGACGCCATGTCATCCGGACCAGAGAGGACAAGGATAGCCCAAGTTGTTATCAACGCTCCGTTCAGAAGCCTGCATCACTGATGGTATGGGGTTGCATGAGTGCTTGTGGCATGGGCAGCTTGCATGTCTGGAAAGGCACCATTAATGCAGAGAACTATGTTCAGGTTCTAGAACAACATATGCTCCCATCTAGACGTCATCTCTTTCAGGGAAGACCCTGCATTTTTCAACACGATAATGCCAGACCACATTCTGCAGCAATCACAACATCATGGCTACGTAGGAGAAGGATCCGGGTACTGAAATGGCCAGCCTGCAGTCCAGATCTTTCACCTATAGAGAACATTTGGTGCATCATAAAGAGGAAGGTGCAACAAAGAAGGCCCAAGACGATTGAACAGTTAGAGGCCTGTATTAGACATGAATGGGAGAGCATTCCTATTTCTAAACTTGAGAAACTGGTCTCCTCTGTCCCCAGACGTCTGTTGAGTGTTGTAAGAAGAAGGGGGGATGCCACACAGTGGTAAAAATGGACTTGTCCCAACTTTTTGGGGATTTGTTGACGCCATGAAATTTGGAAACAACAGATTTTTCCCTTAAAATGATACATTCTCTCAGTTTAAACTTTTGATCTTTGATTTGTGTTCTATTCTGAATAAAATATTAGATGTTGGCACCTCCACATCATTGCATTCAGTTTTTATTCACAATTTGTTTAGTGTCCCAACTTTTTTGGAATCCGGTTTGTAAGATTTTGAATTTAATTCTGGATTTGACAGGGAGCCAATGGAGAGAAGCTAAAAACTGGAGAGACATGATCTCTCCCACAAACTCGTTAAGACTCTGGCAGCAGCATTTTGGATTAACGGAAGACTTTTTAAAGAAGTGTTCGGACACCCAGATAATAAACCATTGCAATAGTCCAGTCTAGACGTGACAAATGCATGAACCAGTTTTTCTGCATCACTTTTTTTTCTCACATCATTTTTAGATAAGATGTTTCTATTTTTAGTGATATTACGCCGGTGGAAGAAGACAGTTCTAGTAACATTTTTAATTTGTGGGATAAAAGACACGTCCTGATCAAAAATAACACCAAGATTTTCAACATTAGAGCTGGAGGACAGATTAATGCCATCCAAGGAGGGAGAAAGACTGAAAAATTTATTCCTAAGATGCTCCGGTCCAAAAACTTAAACCTCAGTCTTGTCTGTGTTCATCAGGAGAAAATTAAGGGTCATCCAGGTTTTTACATCTTTAAGACATGCTTGTAGTCTAAGTAGCTGATTGGATTCATATAACTGTGTGTCATCAGCATAACAATGAAAATTTATCCCATGCTGTTTAATGACTTTACCTAATGGAAGCATATATAAAAAGTATTGGTCCAAGCACTGAACCCTGAGGAACTCCATGACTAATGTTGGTGTCTGGTGAAGATTCATTATTTACATTTACAAATTGGAATCTATCAGATAAATGATTTAAACCAGTTTAGAGCCGTTCCTGTAATTCCAATATCATATTCAAGTCTCCAATAGAATATTATGATCAACTGTATCAAATGCAGCACTGAGGTCCAACAGGACCAGTGTAGACACCAGTCCATTGTCAGAGGCCATGGGAACATCATTAATAACTTTCACCAGTGCAGGTTCAGTGATGTGAGCTCTAAACCCTGACTGAAACTCTTCAGATTATTTCTTTGAAGATGATCATGTAACTGACCAACAACTATTTTCGCTAATTTTTTTTAGATGAAAGTTATAGGTCTATCATTAACTATATATTATTAACTATAGATCTGTAATAACTAGTCTTTTGCTACTTTTGTCTCTAGGTTTTAGCTCCTTTTAGCTAGTGCTTTGCTGCTGTTAGCTTAAGTTTGTTCTTTTTTCAGCTTTCATGCAGCGCTCACACTGGATTTTAGCTGAAACCTTTTTCTTTAACAATATTTCCTATGATGCTTTTTGTCTTTTTTTTACATAAACAAATTTTTATATATTTTTCCAGTTTGAGGTGATTCTTAAATATTTTTTTGCAGCCGATGACGGGCTCGAGTGTTTTATTAACGCCTCCTCTACAACAGAGGACATTTAAGAGTTAAACCTTATTTTGTTCAACATATGTTAAATATGACAAAACCATAAAACTCTACAAACTCCTGCACTGATTAAATATGAAAATTAAACTAAAAATTTGTTTTGTAAACAACTTTTTGTTTTCCTTCCACAGGATGGAGACAAACAACCTGACAGTTCAAACCTCAGATTACTAGTTTTTTTTTTTTTTATTTACAATATTAAACAAATATTCACTGTTTAAATGAAAGGTAAATGTTTTGTTTTTTTTAACAAATGGTGCGAACACTTTGTTGTTTTCTTGCTCCTGAGCTTCAGAGGTTGTTTCAAACAATGAGGATTTTTGGGGATTTATTGTTAGAAACAAAGTTGTTCACATTTCACAGTAAAACGAGCTAAACATCTGATTTGTAATTTGTTTATTATTCAGTTCATTAAACGAACCCTGAGTGAGAAACAGAAAGGAGGGATGCAGGAAGCAGCAAATAGAAGCTAAAGTTTTGATTTTAATGAATTACTCTCCAGGATCAAAGAAAGGCTAAATGCAAACACCCAGGGACTTCCTGTTAGACATTTAATGTAAAGTTGTAAAGTTGGAGCTGAACAGAACTGGACAGGTTGTTTGTTGTTCCCGCAGGGCCCCAGTCTGGAAGGGGACAGGTTCTCCTCCCTGATGGAGACTCATCTCCTCCTAGGACCCCCCCTTCAGCACCGACTCCAGCTCCCCGCTCTCCTTCAGCTCTTTCACGATGTCCAGGCCCCCGATCAGCTCCCCGTTCACGTACAGCTGGGGGTACGTGGGCCAGTTGGAGTAGGTCTTCAGGCCCTGGCGCACCTCCTCATCCTGCAGGATGTCAAAGGTGTCATAGTCCAGTCCAGTCCCGTTCAGGACCTCCAGGATCTGCCTGCTGAAGCCGCACTTGGCGGCCTCCTTGTTGCCCTTCATGAACAGCATGACTGGACTCCGGCTGATGATGCTCTTCAGGCGGTGCTCCAGGGTCTCGGCCTTGGGGCAGGTGTTCTCCAGCTCCCCGGACTCGGCCATCTCCTTCACGATGTCCAGTCCGCCCACCAGCTCCCCGTTAACGTACAACTGGGGGTACGTGGGCCAGTTGGAGTAGGTCTTCAGGCCCTGCCGGACCTCATCATCGGACAGGATGTCGAAGCTGCTGAAGTGGATGTTGCGCTCCTTGAGCAGCGCCACGATCTGCCGGCTGAAGCCGCAGCGGGGCTCCTGCGGGGAGCCCTTCATGAACAGCATGCAGGGCCCCGCGTTGATCAGCTTCTTCAGCCGCTGCTTCAGCTCCGCTCCCCCCGCGGCTCCTCCGACCTCCGGACTCCTGGACGCCGCCAGGCGCTGGACCTTCTTGGTCAGCTCCGCGGCGTGCGCCCCGTCCAGGCGGTCCACCTTCTCTCCCGCCTTGAAGAAAAGGAAAGTTGGCACCGAGGTGACTTCATACTTCTCCGACACCTCCGGGACCGACTCTGCTTCCAGCTTGACGAACGTGGAGTGCGCGTGCTCTTTGGCCAGCTCGGCCATCACCTCGTTCATCTGTCCGCACTGAGGAGCCCATTCCGCCTGGAAGTGCACCACGGTCAGGTTCTTTCCAGCTTTGGATAGGAACTCTTCGAACTGCTGTTTGCTCGTCGCTTCCACGAGATTCGCCATCTTTCCTTCTCCTTGAACTGCGCTTCCGCTACCGCTTGACGTCACTTCCGTGAAGCCTGGTAGCTTCTGGCGAGTACCGGAGCTAGGACCTACCGGGAAGTTGTTAACTGTCGGATGATAAAAACCAGCTGCATACTCCGAATAAGTTGAAAGGATAGTGTGGTTTGAAAGGTAAGCAATACGAGTTTTATTTTAAACCGTCCTACTTTCTGTCACGCTCAGCTTCTTCAAACTTAGCTTCTTTAGCATTAGCTTCTGTAAGCTTTAGCATTAGCTTAGCCACCCCACTAGTTAGCTCTTCAAACCCAGCTGAATTTCCAGGTTTATTAAGTCTTAACTCCACATAACCTCTCACTGATAGATGCGAGGGTAATTGTTTTTGTTTTGTGATAGCTAGAAAATATTTAAAAGTAGGAAGGTACTGTTAGCAAAACAAAGTTATGTTGTTTGTAGCATGATCATGAAGCTGCGGTGTCCGAACTACCTTTAACCACGTAGTTTAGTAAACAGTTTGATACTTAAATAATTAGTTGTTTACATCATATTAGCAGATCAGACTTTGATTCTTCCCGCTGTCCTTTGTGTTTTGCTCTGAGTTAGTTTGACTGGCGCATATTGTTGACCCCAACATTCAGTTCACAAGTTTTATGTCAAATTATCGACATTTTTTTTAATTGATTTAGCTCTTGACTTGTGCGAGTTCGGCTTACCATTGTTTAGTAGATACAACATTTAAAAACAACTGAAGGAAGATAAATGCTTTTCAGTGAAGTCAAACATCAAGACAACTGAATATAAAGAACATATAAAAATAAACACCTAAATAAAATGGAAAGAAATAGGGAACCATTAAATACACAAGATCTACCAAATTTTTATACTTTATTTAAAAGTATTGTGACATTTGATTTATATTAGCTATTTAAATCTAATTATAGCAGAACTGTTATACATTTTTAATCTGTCTGTACAACAAAATACCATTCCAAATGCTTGGAAAACAGCATTTGTTCTACCATTATTAAAGGGAGGAGACCCCTCTATACTAAAACAATTTTGATGAACTTCCAAACTGTATTTTAGCCAAGGTTTTAGAAAAACTGGGAAATACTCGAGTCAAAATTTTACAATTCATCATCATTCATTCATCATCCCACCAATCTGGCTTTAGGAAGCAACTCGGTACAATTCAAAAAAAGTTCAAGACAAAAACAACTGGACTTTATTTGTAACAGAAGACGTTTCGATTCTCATCCGAGGAGCTTCCTCAGTTCAAAGAACAGAGAGTGTGGGGTTTGAGTAATAAAGCTGAACTAAGCTAAATACATATGTAGATTGCCCTATCACTACTCACACCTACAGTTGCACTCGGGTCCAAATAATCCGACTCACTCGGCCGCAGTCTGCAGCCATCATCTCTGAACCCCACCCGATCCAACAAATTAACAGTAATTACAGGTCCAAACCCAAAAACCCCTCCGACATTTTTAATTAAGCTTACCACCGACTATTATTAACATTTGGTGAACGCGCGCGGCTGAGGGGGCACAAGATCAGCCGAGGAGCCCTCAAAGCGCATTAAATGCGTCCCCTGCTTCTGCCTGCATTGAACCCTGCTCTGACATGTTGGATATTTTGTGATCTCACCTGTTTGGGTTGTAGGCCACGCGCATCCGCTGAGTGAACGTCCCTTTGGACGATGGATCACTGGCAGTAGTCCATCTGAAGCTTAACTGAACTTTTTACCTCTTTCAACCGGCCGGTCAGCGCGCGGTCAATTGGTCGCGTGCAGCAGGTGCAGTATGGCAAGCCATGTTTGCATATATTGGATTGTCAGCTTTCAAAAACTTATAATTCAGCGTAGGCCTGATACCCTTGGTCTGCTGCTTTCTAGTATCTCCTCCCACATGTCACATCGTCAGTGCAGTTACATCATTACCTGCAGCGTCCCCTCAGTGTGGACTGAACTCGGCAAAAAGGCCTTTTCTTATTCTGCTCCTGGACCACCTTGCAACAAGATCTGAAGCTGTCCACGTTGATTTCTTTAAGGGATTTTAAATATTTGATAAGGTCAATAGGAAAATCAAAGCAAATAATGTTCTTGATTTTAGTATTTTACCATGTTTAATAAGGCTCCTTATTGTTTTATAACACCACTTTTATTTTAATTGCATTTTACTGTAGTTTATTGTTGTCTGTACTTTATGTTGTGTTGTTGTGTATGTTTGTGTAAAACAGGTCTATTTTGAAAATGAGACTAACCTGTATAAAGGTTATATGAATGAATGGGGGAAAAAGCTGAGTGGTATATATTTACAAAACTTTAGGATCAACCACTTCAAAAGCGCCGTCACCTTTATATTTTAATTTTAGTCTTTTAACATTAATATAGGATGGGGCCAGGATGATTTGAACCATTAAATTAGCTTAACAAAACCTTAAACTCAATGTGGAAACGAACAGGAAGCCCATGGAGTAATGCCAAGACTGTTCGCGCTTAAAGCAGAATTTTTATCATTTGTTCAAACCTTTTTCTGTCAGCAATATGATCAACATTGGTGGCAACCCTCCAACACTTTGCCTGTTAACATCCAGGGGTTTGACGTGGAGAAGGTGACAACATACAAAAACCTGTCACTGACAAACTGGACCAACAGCTCTGACTTTCTTTACAAAAAGGGCCCAGCGTCAACTTCATGTGCTTAGGAGGCTGGGGTCCTTTTGGTGTGATCAGACCACTGCTGATGACATCTGCAGTGCATTGTGGGGGTGGCGTTCTGACCAGGACAGAGACACGGAACAAGCTAATAAAAAGAACCAGCTTTAGTCTGTGGCTGTCCCCTGGACTCCATCAAGGTGGTTGGAGAAAAAAGTCCTGGCCAAGATCTCATGGCAACAATGCCACCTTCTGCATCAGACTTTGAAGATTTTTAGGAGCTCCTTCAGTAGAATACTCAATGTTAGAGTCTAATCAACAACATTAGATTGAAACAAAAATATAAGGCAGGTAAATGGACTGTACTTGTATAGCGCCTTTCTATCTTATCGAGATACTCAAAGCTCTTTACAACACAATCTGTTTCCTCATTTACCCATTCATACAGCACTCTACTAGATCTATACAAAGATTAATCGGTGCTTTATCACATTCATACACCAATGGGACACACATCGGAGGCAATGAGGGGTTCAGTGTCTTGCCCAGGGACACTTCGGCATGTGACTGCTGGTGGAATCAAACCCCCAACTCTTGTATTGGAGGACAACTGCTCCAACCACTCAGCCACAGCCGCCCCGTAAAACGAGTAACGTAGTAAATGTGTAAATAAATAAATTCAAATCCAACACTTTGGTCAAACTTGACATTAGGATTGCTGAAGGGAGTAACACGCAGGAACACGCGGGAACACTTGCGTCTTAACTTCAGTAACATTACCCTCAGCAGGATGGTAAGAATGGGTGTTTTTCCATTACATGTTCTGGTACTGTCCAACTGGGTTGCGGTCTTTTTCTGATTTATTTTCCCTACCCAGGCTGGATCGGATAAGCATAACTTGTTACAGTGAAGAGCAGTGTGGCCTGTTTGCTGTTCTGTGTGTTTGGTAGTCAGTCCTGCTGCCTTGTGACCCTGAGGCCGCAGGTTTGAGCCCAGGTTGCCTCAGGAAGCGCATGCAGCAGAAAACAATTGCCAAATATGTCGTGCGAGCTTGCTTGCTGCGGTGACCCCTGCAGAAAGGAGCAGCTAAAAGAAAAACTGTTCTGTACATTTATTTTGGTACTGTATGCTTGTCTTTGTTTTTGTGAATGCAGGAACATCATGGAGGAACAAGCTTCAGACATAGAAGTGACGGTGAAAACACTCGACTCCCAGAGCAGAACTTACACTGTTGGTTCTCAGGTAAATCCAAAGTTCCTGCTTCACATTTGGGAGGCAAGTCATTTAAATTTAAATATTTGGTGTAACTTCTCTGTGCTGCTTTATTCTGTAGCTGACAGTAAAAGAGTTCAAAGAGCACATTGCCCCCTCTGTGGGCATCCCTGTGGATAAACAAAGGCTCATCTATCAAGGTCGAGTGCTGCAGGATGAAAGAACACTGGCGGATTACAGTAAGTCCGTCCATTTACGTCAGTTTATCCTCATTTTTTAATTGTTGTATCACTCAAAGTTTCAACAAATAGGTAGTCATGTTTGGCATTGTTTAAACGCGACCACTGGTTGATGTCAATTAATTTAGTTTTGCAGCTAACCTACCATTTTTTATTTTCTGCTGTGTTTGAGCACTTCTAGAGAAATCTCAGCAGCGCTGACCACGCTGTAGAGCTGCTGTAAATCATTAAATCGATGAGCCCGCAGTTTGTTTTAGTCAGCGCTGCTTATTTTTTATGAAAACGCCAAAGTTTCAAAGGATTCAGTTTCTTCTGCCTCTGTTCCCTGCTGGGCTTTAGAATACACTGAAAGTATTTTCTGTTTTTTGCAGATGTGGGTGGAAAGGTGATCCACCTGGTGGAGAGGGCGCCGCCTCCACCTTCCCAGCCCGGCTCGGGAAGCACGGCGGCTGACAGCGGACCGTCCTCTTCACCCCCGGGAACATCACAAGCACCGCACGATCGCAATGCTAACAGCTACGTGATGCTCGGAACCTTCAACCTCCCTGTGAACATCATGGACCCCCAGCAGATACAGGTGGGTCTGCGTCGGGTATTTATACAGGGTTAGCCAAAGCATTAAAGGGGCGTTCCACTAATTTTATCCAGAACGGTCTGTAATGGGATGTAAACTGCTTCCAAACAGAACTTACAATCTGTTCTCCTTCTGTCCATACATATTCACACGTTCATTTCACATGTTCATTTAGAAGATTGAAGTCTGTAAAATGTTACAGCATTGGTAGAGTTTGTGAAATGTTTGTATGTGAAGGACCTTTTGGTAGATTTACTTTAAACCTGTCAGATTTGTGTCTTAGCAGATCTCTTGTTTTTAGGCAGTTTTCTCAGGGAGAAGTCGGCAGTGTTGTGGGGGTAAATAGACCTGTTGCCCTGGGTTACATCAGAGGGTGTCGGATATTATGTTGTGAAGTTAACATTTAACAGCTGATAAGAGCATTCACCATCAAATGTTTAAAAAATGTGGGGGTTTCCAAAGCTACCAGTCCACAGTTTTGGGGAAAACGAATATAAAACAACACACAGCAAAGTTACTTTACCGATTTCCTGGAGGATGAGCTGTCTGTTGAGTGGGGGTTATTATGGGGAACTGAGCGTTAGCCGGCAGATTAACCACCGTTCAAAGTAGCGTCTGTTTGCAAACATTAGGTCACTCGTGTGGGAGTGTTCAGTTTTGCAGCTGAGATCTAAAAACTCAAACAGAAACGAGCAGCTCATTGAAAAGCAGTGAAAGTTGGTGCACACAAGATGTTTTGATAACTAAAGCACCAATTTAATAAACACGGTTCCTGATAAATTCAACCATATAGCCACGGTTTATGTTTAAAGTTTTGCTTCGGCTCAGATCAAATAAATTTCTTTAATTGTTTTTCCTGTGAGAAACTCCTCCTTTCACATATCTGTCACAAACTTCAGTTTGTTTTCTTCAAACTCATCAAGTGTCTTTAGTGTTTCTTCTGTCTGGTCCTGGATGTCCTGAAACCACTTTTATTCTGAAAAGAATATAAAGTTTTGTCTCACCTTTTATTGTTTTATTGCCAGCTTGTTTTTAGATTTGTTGTAAACGACTAAAAACACGACTTCCTTCTCTTGTCGTTCCAAACATGTTTTCACGATTATAATAAACTTTATTCCGTTAGAATTTCTCACGGCTGCTCAGTCTTTTCAAATGCTTGAATTAAAAGATTTGAATGAAACATTTTTTACAGTTAATTTATCTGCACAAACTCTTCAGTCCGGTGTTTGAGCCCCGAATTTAAAAAGCAGAATCTCAGCGGCCTGTGCACACACCTCGCGATTTAAACGAGACAAATTTCCCCGGAAGAGCCGACCAACAGTTTTAAATATTTTGCTCTAATCAAATGGTTATATTTTCAGAAGAGTTGAGCATAATCTGTGGGGGGGGATGTGTTTATTTCAGTGTAGCAAGAAACCTTTAAATGTTTACGTGGAGCTGAATAAATCATCCTCTGGTTTTAAACCTTCAGCCTGTGTCCATCGTTGGTTCTCTAAGGTCCGTTAAAACTGTGACGTTGTTCTGATTCAGATGACGGTCCAGCAGACGGTGTCAGGAATGGCAGACAACAGCAGGAATGCCAGAGTGTCAACCAGCACCGGGGTAAGATCCAAACCCGGCGACCTTCACACAACCCGACGTGGTGGATGTGTTTTAACTGCTGCTGCTGTTACAGAGCAACGGGTCTGTAAATGTGCACATCGATATGGATCAGCCGGTTCAGAGCGAGCCCAGACTGAGGCTGGTGTTGGCCGAGAACCTGCTTCGAGATGTTGGCGACGTCATCAACAGGATGGAGGTCAGAGTCCAGCCTGAAGTCGTCCAGGAGGTCAAATCCTCGGCTCACCTCCGCTCGTGTTTCTGTTTTCAGGGTCGGACGAGCGAATCGGCCACTCAGACTGAGACGGCTTCTGCTGCCGCTCCTCCTCCTCCCTCGTCTTCATCCACCACCTCCACTCCGTCTCCCTCAGCCCAGCCCATGGACACCTCCCCACCTCCAACCACACCTCCACCTTCTTCTTCTGCTCAATCTGAGGGACCAACTCCACAACCAGGACCCAAGTGAGACGAACTCCCTTTCTGTTGTGCAAACGCTCAGACTTCTTATTTACAGATTATCAATGAGTTGGCCCAGCTCTAATCCAACGACTTCGTCTGACCTGGGCTGGTGTTTTCTGTCCTAACTGGTTCGTTGTGCATCTCTTTCCTTTCTGTCCTGCAGTCACCCCAGTCCGACTGAGCTGGCAGAGATGTTGTCCGAGCTGCGGAGAGTGGAGGAGAGGCTGCAGCCGTTCCTTCAGAGAGCTCACACCATCCTGGAGACGGCCACCACCGCTGAGTACAACAACAACACGGTAGGATTCCAACACCTGAATAAACCCTGCTAATAATCTGAAATAACCCTGAAATACAGGGTTATTTCAGATTAT